CTCTCACTGTGTTCCTCTAGAGGATTACTGGTATTTGGTGGGGATATGTTATTTTGGTTTTTCATGTTATTATTTTTTCTCTGTGTTTTTGATATGTGAATTTCTTTTGTAGTTTCTGATTCTTGTATGAGACCCAGGCCTTCAAATTTAGGTCTGCTTCTTTTTGTGAACTTTATGTGTCTTTGTGGTTTACATTTTGCACATGAAAAGCTGGTTTGTCTAAGCTTCCGGTTCTCTCTTTTGATTTTATATTGGAGTGGCTGGATTACTTTTGTCTTCAGGAATTCCCACAGAGGCCCAGTTCAGGTGAGGGTCAGATGTTTTCAGTCTTTCTCCTGAGGTCTGGATCCCTCCAGGAATGATTTTGGCCTCAGGAATTTGGGGGTCGGACTGGCCTGGGAGCCCGGCCCAGGAAAGATGCTGGTCTAGGGCAGCTGGTGGCCATGCCACCCAGAGATGCAAAGGAAGATGGGGCCGGAAGTGGCTCCAAGGGCTCCTGGGGACTGCACTTAGAGCTGGGTTGGTCTGGATGCAAAGGATCAGGAGGAGGAAAGGTTAGCTTTTGTGTCCCAGAAAGAGGCTGGTGGGTGGTGCAGGCCCTGGGAAGCAGAGGAGGTGAGGGCGGGGCCAGGTCCAGAAGCAGTGCTCCTGGGGCCCAGAGAAGGCACTAAGTTGGTCTGGATGAAAAGGATCAGGAAGCAGTATTGGTTCCCCAGGTGTCTGGGGTCCCAAGACAAGGAATGGGGGAGGGCCCAAACTCGGAGGAGAGAATGGCAGGTGAGATGAGAGGGTGAATGAGGCTGGGGGAGTCAAGGCAGCAGGTGAGATGGGAGGGTGAATGGGGCTGGGGGAGTCAAGGCGCGGAGGGCGCAGTGGACTTACCGGGAGAAAGGCCTGTGGGTTGGAGAGAGGCCTGGGTAGGAGAGAGTCCTGTGGCAGGTCCTGCAGGCCCAGGGAAGCAGAGCATAAGTTCATTTTTTCAGCAGGTATTTATTGAGCATCTAGTGCCTACAGCATCAGGAACTGTGTGAGGTAGAATCTAGGGTAGCCTTTGCTCTAAGAGTTCGTTTAAGGCCTGGCTCTTCTGAGGGTTCTGTTCTGAGGGCTCTGGCCATTCCCAGGTGCTTAGTGGGTCTCCCCTTGGGGGTTTGGAACTCTCATATCTTAGCCTAGTGTGAGCACTGGGGTTGGTTAGCCTACTGCTCCTAGGTGGTTCTCCCGGGCTGTGGAGTCTCCTTTGCTGCCCAGCACAGTGGCATTCTGAGGAGGGGCTTGCCTTTGAGCTGCTTCGAACTCTTTCATGTTCTCTCTGTCGTGCAGGTTCTGGCTGCCTGGGCCTTCTCTGTCTCCTGTGTTTGTGTCTTTGACCCTTGGTCATGCTTGCTCGGCTCTGCCTGGAGTCCCTCACTGCTGTGGTTTGGAAAGGTCCTCTAGACACAAAGCTAGTTCAGGGATGGGAGTCACTTTGTTTCTCTTGGACCAAAATCTTCTGCCCCTTCTCTAATGTCTGAAATAGCTTTCTTATCTTTTAGTCAGTTTGTAGTTGCCATGGTTGGAGGGCAAGTTTAGTATATAACTGGAGCAGTTAATATATAACTGGAGCAAAAGTCCTTCACAGTGGAGTATTTGGTACAGTGTATTCAGATCGTTTGATATGAAAGTTGACCTTGGGCCTGGGGAGATGGCTCAGTCTGTGAACTGCTTGCCATGTAAGCATGGCACCTGAGTTCCCTTCATGGAACCCATGTAAAGAACAGTAATCCCACTCCTGGGGAGGCAGAGACACAAGGATCTTGGGGTTTACTGGTCAGATAGCCTAGCCTAGTCTGGGAGCCCGGAGCCCAGTGACAGGCTCTGTCTCAGAAGCCAAGGTTGTCCTGAAGGGCATCCAAGGTTGACCTCTGGCCTCCTCTGGCCTGCTCACACACACACACACACTTCACACTCATGCACTCATGTACTGCACACACACATGCATGCACTTGTGTACTGTACACGCATATACTCTTGTACTGCACATGCATGTGCACTCTTGTACTGCACACATGCACTTGTGCTTTGCATGCACACATACACTCGTGTACTAGGCACACACATGCACTTGTGTTCTGGACACATGCATTCGTGTAGTTCACACACATGCACTTGTACTGCACACACGTGCAGCATACGTACAAACCTCTCCTCTGAAGTTGGTCTTTTAAAAGATACTGAAGAGATCAGAAGCATCACAAAATTGAGCAGGTGGTCTCCGAAACACACCTTTATGATGCAGGTCTGTTTGATGACGAATGAGTGTCAGTTGAAGAACAGAGTACAGTTACAGTGTATGCACAGTAATGTTTTTAGCTGTATAACTTTGTTTTGAGGGACAGTTGTACTTATGCTGTGTTATCAAAGAACATTGGCTGTTCCTCTAGAATACTTCTGTGTCATTGGAGTACAAGAATATCATTACCCCCATGCCCAAAGTGGCTCATGCCCCCAGCCTGCTTTCTGATGTATGGTCTTCCCTTGTCCAGAAGGCTGTGTAATTGCGATCATTCACTAGACAGTTTGACTTTGAATTGATCCCAGTTTGTTTATTTTTGAAATGGAATAAAATTGAGCAAAAGCTGCCTGTCTAATTTTCACTTTAACACACACAAGTGGGTTAAATAATATACAGAAAGGCCTGAGGCCTTGTGTGGAGGAAACAAGGTCTGATTTTTGTGTTTTTTAAATATTTTTTTATTTTAATTTTTAAAAATATTTAATATTTTTATTTTATGTGTACGAGTGTATTGCCTGCATGTATGTGAGTGCACCCGTGTCATGCAATGCCGCGGAGGTCAGAAGAGGGCTTTGGATTCCCCTGGAACTGGAGTTAAGGACGGTTCGCAGCCACCATATGGGTGCTGTGAATCGAACCCAGATCCTCTGCAAGAGCAGTCAGTGTTCTTAACTGCTGAGCCATCTCTCCAGCCCCTATTATTTTTATTTTATGTGTATGAGTGTATTGCCTGTATGTATGTGAGTGCACCCGTGTCGTGCAATTCTGTGGAGGTCAGAAGAGGGTATCGGATTCCCCTGGAACTGGAGTTACGAACAGTTGTTAGCTGCCATGTGGGTGCTGGGAACCAAATCCAGGTCCTCTGCAAGAGTAACCAGTGTTCTTGACTGCTGAGCTGTCTCTCCAGCTCCAGGGTCTGATTTTTAAAGATCACTTATTTGCTGTTAAAGCAGATAATGAACCTTCTCTTCATGTTTACATCCTCTCCCTTCTACAGGAGCAACAAATGTCAGTGAGAACGAAAACCCCTTGCCAGCTGCGTTTGGTGTGCTCTCTACCATCTCTACTGCTGTTCAGAGCACGGTGAGGGTCGGTGCTGCTCGGCCTCATTGTCAGATGGGTTTGCGTGTCTTTGTCCTGTCCTTGGAATGCTGTGGCGTGCACTCCAAAGGGAGTCCAAATTGCCGAGGATCACTGGCCTGTTAGGGCTGGGGTAGGAGCCGTAGACGCTAAGCGGAGCGAGTCTGCCAGAGCTGCAGAGGAGCCGGTGCAGAGCCCCTTCGGGACTAGCAGTTCTTGGATGGCCAGCCTGGGATGTTTGTTCTACAAACATATTTTCTTATGACTCGTTTTTAAGCAGAGGGGAAATGCAATTTTGATTGACACATCACATAACTGACGAGAACATTTGAAAAGATGACATAGGACCGTAAGTCTTTCCTACTTGAGGACAGGTGGCTGGGATTTTTAATTTAATTTTTTACTTTTACCTTTTCTTTGTTTTTGAGACAAGGTCTTGCTTTGTAACCCAGGCAGCCTTGAACTTGCAGTCATGCCTCCGCTCCCGAGTCCTGGGATTACAGGCATGCCCCTCCACGCTAGGGAACTTTTTGAAATACGGTAAACATGTAGAATATGAAATTGTACATATTCAGTTGGAATTTCATTGCATGCTGATTTTCAACCATCCTGAGAAACAGTGTGTTTGTCCAGTGCTCTCCCTTCCCAGACAGGTGTGCCCCTCACCCCAAGGTAACTGTAGTCTGGACTTTTGTTCTCATGGGCCAATTCTTACCTGACTTTATGCTTTCTGTAAGTGGAGTCATGTGGTACGCACCCTTTTTGGACCTGGCTTCTTTCACACACATTGGTGGTTTGTCCAGGCAGTTCGTGTTTACCTTCTTTGCTGTATTCCATCGTGTGACTGTTTTTATTGACACCACAGTGGGTAAGCACTGAGGTCATGTCCAGTGTCCAGCTGTTACAACTGTGTTGCAGTGCACACTCTTGTACACGTGTCTTCTGGTGGATCTCTGTACACAGTCTGTATGTATCCATGAGTTTGTTGCTGGGTCATGTGGCTCTGGTAGATACTGGCCCGGGTTTTCCATAGTGGTTCTACCCTGTGTATAGCACAGCAGTGTTTGGTCACTGCTCCACAGTCTCCAGTGCTTGGCATTTCTCACCTCCTCCCTCTCTGGGATTGAGCCTCTGGCCTCATACGTGCTCAGGAAGCACTTTACCACTGAGCTGTTAATGTATAGCCAGGTATTTTTGTAAATTTTGTTTTGAGATGGGGGAGGGGTCTCACTAAGTTGCCCGGGTTGATCTAATTTACTGCATAGCCCAGGCAGGCTTTGAAGCTTTAGCACTCTCCTTCCTCAGCCTCCTGAGGAGCTGGGATTACAGGCGTGTATTACCAGGCCCAGCATTCTTAGCTGCTGTGGAATAATCAGAGTTTTAAAAATGTGTTTTCTCAGTGTTGCGTTGTATGTGTGTATACTTTCTAGGGCAAAAGTGTCATCAGTGGGGGTCTGGATGCCTTAGAATTCATTGGGAAAAAGACAATGGATGTAATAGCAGAAGGTGACCCTGGATTTAAGAGAACCAAGGGCCTGATGATCCGGAATTCCACGCTGTCTCAGGTACTCTTCTCTTTCCCTGTTTGAGTCCTCTTTGTGTCTTGTTTTTGTTTTTGTCTTTGTTAGGGACCTGGGACCTTGTTAGTACTTTTTCTTTTGAAGAATTTTCAGTGGCTTTTAAATTAAGTTGTTTGTCGGGGTGGGGTTGTGGGTGAGTGCTACCTGCAAAGCATAGAAGAATGGCCGTTGGTTTTCCTCGTCTTCCTTCCTTCAGGGGCCTCCTCCAGTACAGTGCAGAATGCTAACCCCGTTAGAGCTGTTTATTAGGTTAATGCTTAAACCGCCCTAAGAAACACACCTGGTTCTTTGGGTGTGTGCACTGCACAGCATCAGAGTGTGTGATGACGTCGTCTTCCCTGCTGTTCGGGGCCTCTTAGATTTGAACCGTGAGAGAGAAAGGACAAAGCCCTGCGCGGAGCCATGAGGCCTCGCTTCCCTCTGCTCTTGACACTCTCGCTGAGCTCTCCCTCTCCTTTCAGGTTTTACGAGAGGCGAAGGAGAAAGAAGAGCAATGGACCTCCAGTGAGGTAACCATGGAAACAGACAAGAAAACTCATTATGGACTGCTCTTTGATGAGTTTCAAGGCCTTTCACATCTAGAAGCTCTGGAGATGCTTTCCCGAGAAAGTGAGATAAAGGTAATTACAAACCCCACATCCCGTGAAGAGTCCTCGACAGAGGGTGCGGCAAAGCTATAGGAAGGAAGTGTTTCTCAGGGAGGCTTGAGACCGGAACACCTACCACAGAGACAAACAGAACTAACGCTGGAACTAGTTCTGCAAAACTGGAGCGAGCCAAGGGTTATTTCTCCAAAGCTGCACAGAAGGGATGGGATAAAAAGGTCCTGACAGCACCTGTTATTTTTCTTCATCTCGGTCCTCAGTCAGTTTTCCTGCTACTCCTTTGGTTTCAGCTGCCAAAAAACTTGGCTGTCAGTTGATTCTAGACTATTTAAAAAAAAATTTTTTTTTTTCTATATTTGAGACAGGGTCTCCCTGTAGCCCCACCTGTCTTGGAACTCACTATGTCGACCAGGCTGGCGTTGAACTCACAGAGATCCGCCTGCCTCTGCCTCCCAAGTGCTGGGATTAAAGTTGTACGCCACCACACCTGGCTTAGACTATATTTTTAAAGGATGTGTTTTGTTTTGGAAACCAGACAGGATTTCACTATATAGCTTGGTCTAGTCTGGAACTTGCTGTGTACGTCAGGCTGGCTTTAATCAGCCTGCCTCTGCCTCCTGAATGCTAGGATTAAAGGTGCATACCACCACGACCTGCTAAAGATTTGTTAATTAATTAATTTATTGTGTGTGTGTGTCTCGTGTGTGGTTGCCCATGGAGGCCCTGGAGTTGGAGTTATAGGCTGTTGTGAGCTGCTCAGCATGGGTGCTGGGATCTGAACTTGGGTCCTCTGGAAGAGCAGCAAGGGGGTTCTTAATAGCTGAGCCATCTCTCAGCCAGTTCACCTTTTCCTTGACTTCTAAGCTGTTGTTAAGCACTAATAATTTCCAGAGCCTCTATCCCAGATTACTTTTGGAAGTACAAATTTTCCCAGCCTTTCTGTAGGAATGAGCTTCTCGAGTTAAAATTTTTAAGGAATAGGAGTTGGTCATGGTGGTACAAGACTATGTAAGCCCAGCACTCTGGAGCCTGGGGCAGGAGGATTGAGAGTTCAAGACCAGTCTGGGCTGCATAGTGAGGTGCTGTGTCTGTGCCCCACGTCTGGGGAGCATTTTGTGTTGACTGACTGAATGCTCATAATTCAGTTTTCAGTTTGGGCTCTTTGTTAGAGGCTTTTTTCCTTTAATTTTCCCACAATTTTTCGTTATCTTACATCCATTCAGGTAAAATCTGCCCTGAATTCTCTTAGTGGAGAAGAATTACAGGCTGTGAGGCTTGAGCTACAGCAGCTCAAAGAAGCATTTTCCCTAGAGGAGTTCTGTGAGGAGGAGGAGGAAGAGGAGGAGGAGAACAGAGGTGAGGTGGAAATCTAGCATCCGGGGTGCGGCTCCAGTGTTTGTGTGTGGCTTTCCCTTCAGATCAGTCACTGACTCTGATCTCGCTCTTTCACTGCAAGTTTCCGTGCTGTCCCCGGACTGCAGGGCTCTGTTGCTTCTCTCAAGTTTTGCAGCACGTGTCTCTGCCTGGTTTTTGTTTTTTTACGTTTTTAATTTTTTAGTGTTTAGTTTTTTGAGTGTTTAGTTTGCATGTATGTAAGTGCACTACATGTGTGCAACACCCATGAGGCCAGAAGAGGACATCAGATCTCTGGAACTGGAGTTATGGATAATTGTTAACTGCCATGTGGGTGCTGGAAACTGAACCTGGGTCCTCTGCAAAAGCAGTGTTCTTAACCACAGTGCCGTCTCTGTAGCCCCTCTGTCTGTCTGTCTGTCTCTGTTTTTACTGTTTAGAGAGCTGTTCTGTCAGGTCCCGTCCTCAGTTTGACCTGTCATCACTGAACCTTCACATCCAGATCAGAACTTTGTGCCTTTCCAACTTCTGCAATCCCTGACCCCATCTTGAAGCATGCTGGGTAGCAGTTACCAAACTGGGTGATAGTTTGCCTAAGTGTAGTTTGTGGGCAACTGAATTTTAAACTCTGGTAAGAATTATTTATTTTGATATTTTATTTGGAAAGATTTCTAAGATCTGTTCTCTTAAGAATGTAAAATTTAATCTATACAAGTCTCTAACAACTCTTTTAAGGATGTAAAATTTAATCCATATGGTTTACCTTTTCTTGATGAAGCAATCAGTTGTACACATTAAAGTTGAATAGAAAAATTCTTTCGGGGTTCATCAAGATATTCAAGGCTAGTTGGCCATGTGGCAGATTAAGTTGACAGTTCATAACTTGGCAGTTCTGTTAAGTTGACAGATCTCGTAGTCCCTGCAGGGAGTCAGAACTGCATTCATGCTGTCAAGATACAGCCTCCTTTTGAAACATGTTTAGTTTTACTTTGCCCTGTTTCAGCATTTTCATGGATGATGAAAGGAGGCAGTGGGTGAACTTGCTGGTGCTGTGTGGAGCAGTCACAGCAGGGGCAGCGACTTGTCCTGGGGCCGTGTGGACCAGTCATCACAGCAGGGGCAGCGACTTGTCCTAGGGCCATGTGGAGCAGTCACAGCAGGGGCAGCGACTTGTCCTGGGGCCGTGTGGACCACTCATCACAGCAGGGGCAGTGACTTGTCCTGGGGCTGTGTGGAGCAGTCACAGCAGGGGCAGCGACTTGTCCTGGGGCCATTGTATTTCCACTGTCTTGTGCTCACAGCTAACTGTGCAAGTTTCACATAAGATTCTTGGTGAAATAGTAAAAAATTATTAATGGTGTTGAACTTGACTCTGAAATATGCTTTGGTATCTGTGACACTGAATTAGGATGGTTGTCTCAGAAAAGGCACTTGTAGTATTTAAGTTATGAGCTGAACCACTTACTTTTGACATGGAAGACTGTTTGCACGTAGAGGTCTAAACAGTTGCGTGGACTGTTGAGAACAGTATTTGATGAAACGTCTTGAGAAGTGAACGAAGGGAAGCTGGGTGTGCCAGCACACACTGCAGTCCTAGCACTTGGGAGGTAAAGGGAGGACGGTCATAGGAAGTTCGAGGCCAGCCTGGTCTACATAGCAAGTGCCAGACTAGCCAAGGCTACACATAAGACCCTGTCTGGGAAAGGAAGGGAGAGAAAAGGAAGGAAAAAGAGCAGTGAATGAATGAATGAATGAGTGAATCTTGACCATCTATGTGACTCATGATAAAATTTCAAAATAAGTCACAGTGTTGTAAAACGTATTTATCACTCTGATGAGCTCGACAGTTTCCTAGTGCTGTTTACAGACAATTCTGATGAATTTCGTGATGATAGTGACAATTATATTCACTTTTGGATGTTTGACAGTGAAATGTGTCAATGTTTGGGAACTATGTATAACTTAAAAACGAACGTTTTCCCATTGATGTGTGAGATTATAAAATCATGCTTTGGCAAAAGACAGCCTAATGGATCTTCCTTTAACAAAACCAAGTACAAATCTATGTGACTTGGTTTCAGGTTCATCGCACTATGGGTTGTTGAAACTAACCATTAACAAATGACTACTTCTTGAATTTTGGCGTAGTGTGACAAATATTCATTGTGGTCTGCAGAGATGGCTCAGTCAGTAAAATGTTTGTCATAAGAGTGGGACCTGAGTTTGAATCCTTAAAACCCCTGTAAAAGCCAGACACACAACATCATATGTATCACCCCCCCCACCCAGGGAAAAGCATCTTCAAGGGTAATCTTTACTATTTATCTGAAAAGGCCATTAAATATGTCTTCTCTCTCCTACATTGTATTTTTTAGTTTGGATTTTGTTCACGTATTTGAACAAAACATCCTATTTGTAACAGTCTCAATGTAGAAGCACATAAGTGACCAGCTACCTTCCATTAAGAGAAATGTTGAAGACCCGTAACAAAGATGTAAAACCGCGCTATTGTTTGTTTTCAATAATTTCCCCTTCTTTTGTAAATATACTTTTCTTTAAGCCTTTGTTTTAGCAACAAGTGGCAGGTTTATTATTATCATTGCTTGTGCGCGCACCCTGATCAGCACATCCGAGCATGCATTGCTTCTAGAGGACAGCAGGTGATGCTGGGTGACTTCCTCTATCACTCTCCATCTTGGTTTTGGAGACAGGATTTCGGTGAATTTGAAGCTTGTCTTTTCTGCTAGACTAGCTGGTCAGTGAGCTCCCATGAACCTCCTGTCTCTGCCTCCCAGCACTGGGATTATGGACAGGAGATGTCATGCCTGGCTTTTATTTGAGTGCTGAAGATCTGAACTCAGGTCATCATACTTACACAGCAAGCACTTAACTTACTACGCCATCTTCACAGCCTGGTTTATTATTGTTGTTGTTGTTGTTGTTGTCTTTTTGAGACAGGGTCTCCCTGTAGCCCCAGCTGGCCTGGAACTCACTGTGTAGACCAGGCTGGCCTTGAATGCATTATGTAGACCAAGCTGGC